TTCTGAAAAAATGGGCGAGCTTCACGTAGCGTAGCCTAGTCCGAAATGTAGAATTTTGAAGGACGATCGAAATTCCTCGAAAGATGCAAAGTGGGCGTGGCCCAGGAGGCGGAGCTTGATGTGTCGGTGTGTGAATGCGCGTCTATGAGTACCTCCGTTCTGTGAAGGGTGAATGTGAATCGGCAAGGTTGAAAAAAGTTATGAGAATTCGTTCGCAACAAACTTCAAAAAATGGGCTGAGTCGGCCATGTGTCGATGTCTGTTTCTTTTCAGTCAAAGTGTACGGTTGTTAACAGTAAAAGCCAAAAACAGTCATAGAAACAGAAGTTATGAAAAAAAATTGAAAATTTACAACCGCGCTGGCAGGTAAGCGTGGTCGTTGGGCGGGGTATGTGGCAAGAGAATCGTAATTCGCCGCGCCAGTGGGCGTCGCGTGCGACGTCGCGCCTGCTAATGACGACGATTTTAGGTGGTATTGGTCGAGAATAGACAATGTATGACCAAAAATAGACATAAGTGTCTACCATGTCCTTGTCTACATGAAATCCGATGCTCCAATCGAAAGGGTAGTGCAAATTGAGGAAACGTCGCGCCCATTGCCGCGCGCGACGAAGCGGCTCTCTACGATTCTCTTGCCCGTCTCCCCGTTGGGCGAGGCTTGCGGTGGTGTCTAACGCGATCTGGTTGATTAATTATCCGGTCTAAGAAGTGCAGTGAATTCGATTTGTGAATGGTGAATTTGATTTGAAAAGTGGTGATTTTGCTTTGAAAAGTGGTGAATTCAAAGTGAAAGTGGTATGTGTAAGGAGCAAGTACGATGGAAGCTACACAACTAGTGCCGAGAATAGAAGCTGTTAAGGTCAATAAAGTACGGGGGAACTATCGAATACTGATGGATCCACTGGTTTTGCGCAGTTGTGAGCTGTTTTCTTTTAAGTGTTAGGGACACAAATCATGATAGGTGATGGGCAGAGAGTCTCAGCTATTGCGTTTCCCAGATTGCAGCCCTCTTCAAAATATAGCGTGACATATAAAAGAGGCGCCAGTGAGGACGTGACAATCCCACAAGTCTCCGCCCCTCCGTTCATCGCGGAATGTGCCTTTGAAGACATCCTGCATATTTACCATTTTCACTTTGAATTCACCACTTTTCAAACCAAATTCACCACTTTTCAAATCAAATTCACCACCACTTTCCAAATCAAATTCACCACACTTATTGCGCCGGGCAACTCATCAACCAGATCACGCCAAACACCACGAGCCCCGCCCCGACGGCCGACTTTCAGCGCGGACACTCTCCAAATCTTGTTTCATAACTTCTGCTTCT